ACTGGAACGTGGTCTTCTCCTCACGATTTGACATTGTGAAGGACTTGCGTGGCAAGTTTGAAAATAACTCTTAACGAGTTAATAACTCAGAGCGAGTTTTAGAAGGACTTGCAGAGCAAGTTTTGAAACTCTGGACAAGTTGATAACTCAGATCGAGTTCAACTCGAGTTTAACTCTGAACGAGTTTGAACTCTTGAAAAAGAGTTGATTTAACCGAAAGTCGGTTAGAAGCCAAGGATGAATGCTCCAAGGACTTTGTTGCTGCAGAAAGCTCCAAGATGCCCGATCAAGGATCCCCAAAGAGCCAGCTCCAACCAACCGAATCTCTCCTCTTTGCTGCCCAAAAAAAAGGCTCCGAACTCAGTTGAGTTTCCCACTATTTATAGGGGATTTAGGGGTGTAACCGCCCCCTTAAATCTCTCCTTAATGAGGGTTTAATGGGGTGTAACTGCCCCCCATGAATCTCTCCATGATAGGGTAGTGATCCCCTCAAATCGTGGGGAGAAAACGGTTCTGGAACCGTTCAAATTGTGCTTGAACGAGTCAAACGCTGAAAACAGCGTTCTGGGCCTTAACTCTGCGTTTAAGGCCTGAGACGCAGAGTTAAACCTTTGTCAAAGGTTTGAAACGCACAGGCCGCATGCGCATGGTTGAGTTTGTTGAAGAACGCACGTTATGTGTGCGTTTGTGCTTTAACTCTGCGTCACAGAGTTAGATGTCTGCTGGAGAACGCACAGTCTGTGTGCGTTTTGTGTTTGGGAAACGCAGAGGTGGGTTCTGCATGGACTCTGCGCTTTGAGTCCACGAACTCTGCGTTTGGACTCTGGAATGCAGCCACGACCTCTGTGTTTTGAATCTGGAACGCAGTCACGACCTCTGCGTTTTGAATTTCAAATGAGGTCACGACCTCTGCGTTTTGAATCTCAAATGAGGTCACGACCTCTGCGTTTTGAGTTTAGAACGCGGGCATGACCTCTGCGTTTTGAATCTTGGATGCAGAGGTGAGCCTTAGGTGGGCTCGGTGAACTTCAGGCTAAGTCCAATGTTCAGACGAAGTCCAGTCTTGCAGACGGTCTTCGGAACATGACTTGCTGCGAAGAACAAGTCATAACTTTCAAACCGTAAGTCGGAATTGGACGAATTATATATGAAAATTGGCTATCTCGACGAGACGGAGCCATTTGAACCAAGCCAAAGGCTTTGGTTCGCTTCCTCCGTTTTGCCAAATTCCTTACGGTTTGAGAGATATCTGCGTTTTAATATGAAGAGACCGTCAATTTGTAGTCTCTTTCGCTAGAGCGTTGCGAAGATCGTCACCTTGTAACTTTCATCTTGGCTCCTTGTAAATATGAGAGTTATCAGATTATAACTCCCGATGTTGATTGTGAAGGCTGTTGAATTAGAGCTTTCATCAGTTGTCGTGAAGGTCGTCAGATTGTAACCTTCTACGTGAAAGTCTTCAAATTGTAGCCTTCTGGAAGTCGTCAGATTGTAACTTCCATCATTGGTGTCTGATGGGGGATAAGCTATCTATTGTGATTTTTAGACAGCGCGTCAGATTGTAACTTCCATCATTGGTGTCTGATGGGGGATAAGCTATCTATTGTGATTTTTAGACAGCCTACAAATGTTAAACTTTATTTGTGGCCCATGTGTTAAACCGACTTGAGTGGCAACGGTTTTTCTTTAAACCACGTTTAAAGAACAGTTTTAGTGGCCACATTTTAGTTTAGTTATGGTTTAATAATATTAAGTGCTTAATTCCTATTGGTCAGTTTAGTTGAGAATATATTGTCAAATAACCGCTCACGGTTATGGAACATGGGATATTTGTTCTATTTAAGGCTTGGTCCCCTCTCTACCCCTAACGTGATAAAAATTTTCTCTCCATCAAGAAAATTCAAAATAATTCAAGAGGGCTAAGAGAGAGAAACTGAAGTCTTCAACGTCGTACTTCTTGCAGTCAATTTCTCTTAAGATTTTTTTTTTTTTTTTGTGAAAATCATCTTGTTCTAAGATCTTGGTATTATGATAATCAAATCAAAATTTAAGTTTGATTTGCTTAAATTAAGAATTAGATTTACACTAGATACTTGATCTCTATCTTCCCTCTCAAAGATACCCATAACAGGATTTGGAAGCGGAAGCTAATCGGTCCTCAGCCCGTGCGTACCACACAGGGGCGTGCCAATTCTCAGCATCATTGCAGCTAATGGGATATCCTCCGATCACGCGAATACTGATTTCAGCAAGATCTCTCGATTCAAGCCCCTGTGGCTTAAATTAACCACACATCACGATCCGTGTCCATCACTTGACGACGCCCATAGGGAAACTCGTATTATTTATACTTATATATACCAGTAGTTTCGCTGATTAGTCTCTTTTAGTTCTAACTACTATTTGACCCCGCCCTACTAATTAATTATAATTGATCGGCGCTATATACTTTGTTTAAATCAAGCCGAATGATCAGCCGTGAAGAAAGTTTGTTCCGCTGACCACTTTATGGCGTGATGATGACCCTTCGGTTTGGAATGTTTGGTTGTGGGCGGTTGCATTTCGAATCTCAATCGCCCTCCGTTGCCCAGTGTAGTTAGCTACCATTCATCTCTGTCGACCTCTCTCTTTGCCCTCAGAGAAAAATAAAAAAAAAGCTTTTCTAAGGCATCCAAAGCGTACAATTTTGGATATTTTATTTTTTAGCCTGCTGCACATGTGTGAGCCGATCTTTTGCTTGTAGGAATGTGAGGCTGGGGACTCCTTTAAAGGTTAGTGATCTCGTCTTCATATATTATTATTATATCTTTGGATCTCATGAGCAGTATATTTATGTGATTATTCCCCCTTCTTGTTTAATCAGACGGGGGGGACGGGGTGTGGATTTTGTCAACGTCACTCTCTTTAGTCTCTTAGCTGATACGGACAGGCAGTAGCGAGTAGATGATCGTGGTGCTTTGGTTTGCGTATTTCACGGTACGTGGGATGAGTTTCCTACGAAAATGTCATTTGGCACGCGAGATGGGCGCGCAGCCCATCTCGCGTGCCACAACAGGGTGGTGGGACCCACAGGCAGATGTGGGTCCCATCCCCCTATTTGTGGCACGCGAGATGGGCGCAAGTTTGAGTTTCCTATGATGTGCATTAATGTCCTGGACTCCCGATATTAACTTAAGGGAAGAATTCAAGCGTACCAACAATCCCCTCGAGTTTGTTCTTGTTAACTTCGCCTACACGATCTTAGACGGGCAAAAGGATTCGATCAGCTTTTAAACCTTGGCTTCAGCTCGGTAAATAATTGAACAAGGGTTTAATTAACCGGTTTGTGTTAGCCTTATTTTTTAGCCTAATTAAGACTGGCCAGGTCAAAATTGATCCACCTCTCAATTTATAGATAGATCCATTGTGGGCAGACTAGGATCCCACCAAACGGTCCGAGCCCGTGTCGTGTGATACGCTAGTAATGCTAAGTTTTGGCCCAAACAACCGTGAGCCTCTCACTTCTTGCTCCACCAGTATATGCCGTAATTAATGTCACCACAGGTTCTGCGTTAGTTATGTGATACTGTTACGCCAATTTTCTTGTCAATTCTTGGATTTTTTTTTTCTGTGCCATTTGTTGTATGTTACCACAGCAGCATCACTAATTCATGATACTCTCGCATTAAGCTAAGCAAACGCTACAAGCTGACAATTTTGTGTTTTCTTAATGGGTAAATTACACTAAACCCCCATGAACTTCCAGCGTTTTGCAATAGAAAACCCATCAAATTCACAAAAAACCCCCAATAACTTTTCTGTTTGTAGAAAACCCCAATATGTTTTGCATTTTGTAGGAAACCCCCATAAATTAGAACCAAAACATTAAAAGACATTTTGAAAGTTATTGTGGGTTTAGTGTAATTTACCCAAAAAGTATTGATAGTTTTCTACAAAAGTTATTGTGATTTTTGTGCGATTTTAAAGTTCAGCAGAA